TGGCATTTTGTTTTAGGTGAGCTGACCTCTCAGTATTTCTGCAGTGCAAGCCTCGTAGTGGAGAATTCCCTCAATTTTTGTATGTCTGGAAGGGTTTTTATTTCTCCTGCATATCTGAAGGAGAGCTTTGCTGGATACATTATTGGCTGGTAGTTCCTTTTGTTTAATAGTTTGATATTTGATTCCACTGTTTTCTGGCTTGTAAGGTTTGTGCTGAGAAGTCTGATGATAATCTAATGGGTTTTCCTTAATAGGTTACCAACTTCTTTTCCCTTGCTGCCCTGATAATTTTTTCTTTGTCTTTGATTTTTGATAACTTCAATACAATGTGTCTTGGTGAAGGCCTTTTTGGGTTGAGATAATTGGGTGTTCTGTTGAATTCTTGAATTCCAAGCTCCAGTTCACTCCTTAGATTTGGGAAATTCTCATCTACTATTTGTCTGAAAATGCTTTCTAGTCCCTGCTCTTTTTCCTCGCCTTTGATAATGCCCATTACTCTTATGTTTCCTCTCCTGATAGTATCAGCTAATTCTTGTATTTCTCTTCCATTATTTTTCATTCTTTGATTTCTCTCTTCCTCCTTCTGATTTATTTCTAGATTTCTGTCTTCGATATCACTGATCCTTTCCTCCATTTGGTCGACTCTATTTCCCAAGCTTGCTATTTCATTTTTCAACTCTTGCAGAATATCTATTCTGTTATTCTTGAGTGTTTCAATCTCCTTGCCCTGCTCATCTAGTTGTTTTTTCAATTCTTGAAATTGTTGATATGACTCATTTCGGATCTGAGTTTTTCAGAAGTACCATCCTGAATTCTCTGTCATGTAAGTCGCGTATTTCTATGTCTATAAGCTTATTTTCTGGAGATTTTTCTCTTTCTTTCTGTGATACTTTGTCGCCTTAGTTGTTCATGGTGTTTAATGGACTATTTCTCAGCCTAGGCATTAATGGAAGTGTATTCTGTTGTTTTTCCAGAAAGAAGATTTATTATATAAAGGTCTCTCTTTAGCCTGCTGCAAAGAAGGTGCTTTTCTTTTGGTTTCCAGTAGGTAGTGTCTAAGCCTCTTGGATCCTTGCTTTCTATAAATCCTACATAATGTCTTTTTAATTTTCTTGTAGATTTAATCACACTTGCTACTCTCAGTTTCAGTCACTGTCAGTGTTAGTGACAGTTTCAGTAGCATTTGCTCAGATTCCCCTGGGGCTCCATGGTCATCAGTCTCGGAGGGTATAGGGGGAGGGCCCCTCTGGGTTGGTAGTTGGAGGCTGTCGTTCAGCCTTGGTTTTGCTACTGGGGGTTGGTAAAAATCAACTGTTGTTTCTCTGCGGTCCCATCCTGATTCTCTGCTTTCTGTCCTGATGACTGGGCCCTGCTGCTGGCTATGTAAAAGTCATATAACTTCCAGGCAGGGCTGTTCAGGGAAGTTGCCGCACCTTCTCCCCTCCCCCTCCACCTGCAGGGAGCTCCAGAGGCTGTGAGAGGTAGCTTCAGCCTCAGCAGCATTTGCTCAGATTCCCCTGGGGCTCCACGGTGTTCAGTCTCAGAGAGTATGGAGGGAGGGGCCCTCTGGGTTGGGAGTTGGAGGCTGCAGCTCAACCTCAGTTTTGCAACCGGGCCACTAAAAATCAACTGTTGTTTCTCTGTGGTCCGTCTCACTTCTCTGCTTTCTGCCCTGATGACTGGGCCCTGCTGCCAGCTGCGTAGAAGTCACAGCACTTCCAGGTAGGGCTGTTCAGGGAAGTCACCGCACCTTCGCCCCTCCCCTTTCTCCTGTGAGAAGCTCCAGCAGATGTGAGAGGCAGCTTCTTTATTTCTCTCAGTCCACCGCTTGACATCCGGGTTTCTGACCTGTGGTAGTTCTTATGCGCAGATCCACGTTCAGACATGCTGGTGTGCAATTTGTGTGTTTTTTGTTCAGTTCTAGATGTTTAGCTTATTGTTGTTTCAAGGGGAGAGATCTGAGGATGTCTCTCACTCTGCCATATTTCCCACTGTGTTAACTTTTTGTATGCACATATATTTTCATTTCTTTTCAATAGATACCTAGGAGTACAATTACTAGGTAATTTATCTCTTGCTAGTAAATTTATGTTTAATTTTTAAAGAAATTGTTAACTGATTACCCAAGTGATAGCACCATCTTACATTTCCCATCAGCGATGTACTTGGGTTTCAGTTTCTCAATATCCTCGACAATACTTGTTAGTGTCTGTCTTTTTTATTATAGCCTTTCTAACAGTTTTGAAATGATATCTCATTATGGTTTTAATCTGCATTTCCCTAATGACTAATGATGTTAAGCACCCTTTTATGTACTTATTAGCCATTCCTATATCTTCTTTGATTAAATATCTATTCAAATACTTACTCATTTTTATTATTGAGTTTTAAGTTCTTTATATATTCTGGATATAAATTCTTTATCAGAAAAGTGATTTGCAAATATTTTCTCCCAGTCTAAGGCTTGTCTTTTCATTTTCCTAATCTGAAGCTCAAAAGTGTTTAATTTTGATAAAGTCCAATTGGTTTATCATTTTTTCATCTATATATCATGGTTTTAGTGTTGTATTAAAAACTCCTATCGGTCAGGGTTCAACCAGAGAAAAAGAACCAGTAGATTATATATGATTGATATACCTACTTGCCCATCCATCCATCCATCCATCCATCCATCTCATTGCAATACGGGAACATACTTTGTTTCATGTCAATCTTTTTAGATTTATTGGGACTTGTTCTATAGCCAAGCATATGGTCTACTCTGGAGAATATTCCATGCATGCTTGAAAATAATATATATTCTGCTGTTATTGGGTGGACTAGTCTATAATTGGTTTATATTATTGTTCTAGTCTTCTATATATATCTTTACTGATTTTCTGTCTAGATGTTATGTCCATTATTGAAAGTGGGATATAGAACTCTCAAAATATTATTGTTGTCGATTTTTCCTTTTAATTCTGTCAGTTTTTGTTTCCTGTATTTAAAGACTCTGTTATTAGATACATATGTTTATAATTGTAATAGTTTCCTGATAAACTGACCCTTTTATCCTTATAAAGTGTTCCTCATTGTCTCTAAAACCATTTTTTTGTCCTAGTCTATTTTATCTGAGATTAGTATATCTTCTCCAACTCCCCTGTGGTTACTGTTTGCAAGGTTATCTTTAAGATGTGTTGCTTACAGTTGGATCTTGTGGTTTTATTTAAAAAAAAAAAAATACAATCTAGCAATCCCTGACTTTTAATTGGAATGTTTAATTCATTCGTATTTAATGTAATTATTGATATGGTTGGAGTTATACCTGCCATGTTGCTGTCTGTTTTCTATATGTCTCATATCTTTTTCCTCTTTTTCTGCCTTTTGTATTAATGTACACAGACATTTTCTAGCGTACCATTTTAATTCCAGTTTTTCCTATATTTTTGAAGTAATTTTCTTAGTGATTGCTCTAGGGATTGCAGTATACATATTAAATTATCACAGTCTGCTTCAGATTTGTACTAACTTAATTCCAGCAAAACAGACTCTGCTCCAATAACTCTACTCCTTTCCCCTGCTGTATTGTAATATGTATATAATGCATATGTTATATATGTACGTGTTATAAGACCAACAATAGTTTTATAAATATTGTTTTATATGACTGCCTTTTTAATCAGTTAAGAGAGGAAAAAGAAAAATATTTTTATTGTCTTTTATATTTACCTACATATACTGATGCTCTTTGCTTCTTTGTGTGAATTTGAGTTATTATCCTCTTGTGTCATTTCCTTTCAACCTAAAGGACTTCTTTGGTATTTCTTGTAAGGCATGTCTACTAGCAACAAATTCTTTCAATCTGCTTATCTGGGAATATCTTTATTTCACTTTCATTTTTTAATAGACTGTTTTTAAAGGTAGTTTTAGATTTAGAGAAAAATTGAGAAAATAATACAGAGTTCTATATTTCTCCCCATAGTTTTCACTGTTATTAATAACATTAGTATGATACATTTGTTATAATTAACAAATTAATATTGATACATTATTAACTAAAATCCATAATTTATTCATAATTATTTATTTTGACCTAATATCTTTTTTGTTTCAGGATCCCATTCAAGGTACCTGATTACATTTAGTTGTTACATTTCCTTAGGCTTTCTTGGCTGTGACAGTTTCTAAGACTTTTCCTTGTGTTTGATGTCCCTGACAGTTTTAAGGAGTACCAGTCAGGTATATTGTAAGATACCCCTTTATTGGAATTCTTTGATGTTCTTCTCTGTTTCTTTGCATGCCTCTTTTATGTTGAAAACTGGACATTTTAGATTACATATTGTAGCAGCTCTGGATTCCGATTCTTCCTACAACCTCCAGGGTTTGTTTTTGTTGTGTTTTTGTTTGTTTGTTTGGTTGGTTTTTAGTGACTTTCTTGGACTAATTTGATGGAGTTTGTCTCTCTCACAGCATGCAGCCACTGATATCTCAGCTCAGTTTTTTTCTATTTTCTTTTTGTTTTTATTTTTAAGCCTGAATTCCTTGGGGGTCACCTTTGCATCAGCATAACTTAATGGTAAGTCAATGACTGGCCACTCACTTAACCAGATTGACCCAATAAGGCTTCTATTCTTTGCTAATGGATCTGTATATGGGTTAAGAAAGCACTGTTTTAGACAATGCCCCTAATCAGGGGTTTTTCCAAGCTTTGTACCACATGAAATCAACCCCTTCAGGCAATAGAGCTGTCAATACTCACAGCCGGCGTCACTCTAGTAGAACTAATAGGTCATGAGTTGGGGAGTTGGAGATAGGGGCAGCTCCAGACTAAAACATCAAAGACTTCCACTTCTTCTCTCACTGAGGTTCAGTAATTTTTCTTGAATAAATGCTTTTAAATTTGTCATGTGCCTTTGGTCAATTTCCAAAGTCCTAAAATGGTTATCTTGGGCAGTTTTGTACAGTATTGTAATTGCTTCTCATTCGGCCATTCTGGAAATTGCTTCAAATGTTTTACTTTAGTTTGTTCTTTGTGATCCTTTTGAAAGAACCAAAGTTAGCTTTGACTCAGAAAAAGGAGCAAAGAAAGATAGGAACCCAAAAAAGAAAATGGAAAGCACCAAGCATAATCGAAGCTAAAGGAAAATTTTGGCTTACATTGTGTCTAATCCCAAACTTATAATGGAAGGTAATTTGAGGTCCTAGCTGAGTTCTCCTAAATTCTGGAAGCAAAGTTCTATGTGGTTGTGGAAAAAGTTATTCTTTTATTTTAGAGCCGAAGTTTCCTGAGGAATCTTTATCCTATAGCTATCTGTTAATTCAGGCTAACTTCCTTAGGCTTAAACATAGATAGAACACAACACAAAATAAGAAATACAATCTCATCTTTTGTTTTTTACTTTTAGCATCTAGAGGTACTCTATGGAAATCTTGGAAAGAAAGAGTTATAAAGCGACCTGCAACAGCCCATGCTTTAAGACCAGATCAGATGATTAGTGATGAATTTGCAACAAATACAAAGGTTTCAGAAATCCAAGGTATGCTACAGGAACTTGTAGGTACTGCAATGTTCAATAAATTGGAAAACAATGCTATTAAATATATATCATCAACAATAGCAAACCTTTCTAAAGCATTGAGTACACTAAATGATGAAGTAAAAGTTATTAACCTCCAAAGTGCCAACATGTATGTAAGTGAGACAAGTGAAAGAGAAAAAGAGCTCTCTCTGAAGATAATAGAAGATCTCAGTGAAAAAAATGAAATGCTTCAGCAGAAACTTCAAGATGCAGAAGAAAAATGTGAGCAACTCATTCGATCCAAAGTATCTATAGCTTCTCCCACATCAACCTTGAAAATATTATCTGAGCTTTCTCCACAGACATCCACGCCCATTAGCAAAGCTGATAAAGAAGACAGTATGGACAATATTTTGACCAAAGAATTAGAAACTATTGTTGATGAGGCCCAAAGAAAAGGGACCAAAGACTCGGGGATCAAGTGGGACTCAGCTGTTTTACATACAGCCCAAGTTGAAACGACTCCAGATTTAACTGAAGAGCAATCCCCTTTACCTGAAAAAAAACAGAAAACACCTTCTGAAGATATCACTGAAGATAAGATATTACTGAAAAAAAGTGATGTCCATCAGAAAGATGGAACTGACCAGTATCAATCACAGAAAAGAAAGCATAAAAAAGTACCACGTGTACATGAGATTTCTGGATCAAGTATGGGTGGAAATGAAGGTAAACAGATAGTCTCAGAGACCAAAGTTGACTACCACTTTGAGCAAAAAAAACTGGAAAAGAAAAATAAAGAAATAAAATCCTTTTCTGAAGCCAAGTCAAAATCATCCATTGAATCAAAAGGTCAACATGTCCCTGCTGATTTCCCTTCTACTGACACAAACAGCCAAGGTGGCAAAAGTGGAGCACGTAGTACATGGGAACAACCAAGGATGGTCAAAGCAGAATATTTACTTAAGAAAAGCCAAATTTCTTCAGAGGATAAAAAGGAGCCAACCACTGAATCAACAGGCAAAGAGAGCAAAAGTGAGAGGGACAGCCAAGCGGAACCATTCGGGTCAGTCCAACTTGATTATTCCTCTGAGAAATTAAAAGCAAGAGGCAAGAAACATCAAAGCTATTCAGAAACTACCACAAACAAAGAATTAACTGGAGAGGACACATCATTGTTTACCAAGAAGTTCAAGTCTCATGAACGTGTTAAATCAAAACCTAGGATAACTAAAGAGACTTCAGAATCTACCAGATCTCTAGGAAGTTCAGATGACAAAAGTCAACAGAGTAACCTAGAAGAATTTCAGAAAGCCATAATGGCTTTCCTGAAAGAGAAAACTGATAACATAAGCAAGCCTTTGGATAAAAAGACTGCACCAGAAAAGCAGTTACTATTAAAAAAAGCAGAAGTTGAAAACTTAGAAATTATAAAGGCAAAAATGGATGAATATTTCCAAAATGTGGCTGAAACTGTAACAAAAATCTTGAGAAAATACAAAGATATAAAAAATGCACAACAAGTTGGAGAGAAAGCTAGGAAACAAAAAAAGGTAGTCTCATTTAAGCCAGAATTGCATTTTCAGAAGCCAATTAGTGCAATGTCTGAAATTAACACCTTACTCTCAAATGAGAGCATGGACCCAGCAATTCGCAATTTAATAGAAATGATCTTGACTGAAATAGAAAGTGAAAGAGATGCTCCAGTAATCTCAGTAGCGGAGAGAGACCACAAGGAGAAGGAAAAACAAAAGCAGAAGGAATATTTGAAAGAGGGTCAAGAAAAAATTTTTGATATGAATCTTAAACACCACTTACAAGAAGAAAAGAATCTCTGGAAGAAGAGACATGAGATAATAAATAAGAACATGGAGAAGGAAAATGCATGGCTCCAGATGGAGAGAAAGCAAGAACAGAAACAAAATCAGTGGCAGGATGAAGAGATAAGGAAGGAACAGCAAAAACAGAGGATGCAAAAGCAGATTGAGCAAAAGCGAATGGAAGAGGAGGAAGAGCAACAAAATCAGTGGCAGGATGAAGAGATAAGGAAGGAACAGCAAAAACAGAGGATGCAAAAGCAGATTGAGCAAAAGCGAATGGAAGAGGAGGAAGAGCAACAAAAGCAAAAGGAGCAGCAGCTGAAAGCACAGGGCCAAAAAGTCAAAGAGCAAGAGAGGCCCTTGGAGAAGGGACAGCAGATGGGGCAGGTTCAGAAGGAAGTGAAACATCTGGAGCCGGAAAGCAGTCAGAAGAAAAAAAAGAAGAAGCCAATGAGCAACGTAGAGGACCATGAAGGGTGGCAGAAAAAAGCAAAGGATCGGATGAAGATTAAGGAGGAAAATTCTAAAGACCTAAAAAAGATATTCAGCCATGCTTCAGTGACATTGTCTCCCAGGTGGAAGAACATATGGAATGATGTATCCCAGTTACACAAAAGGAAAGAGTTCCAAGTGAATCTTGAGACAAAAGAGATTCTTTCTGATGAAAAGCACCCTATACCAATTACTTCTCCCACCTCCACACAGTCTTCCTTACCTGGGCCCTTTCCTATTCTTGAACAGTCTCCCACAAAATCCATCACTGTCATTCCTGAGAAAACCAAGGCACTGAAAATCACTCCCACCTCTGAGCAGGCCCAGAAACTGGGGAGGCTTTTCACCCCTGAGCAGGCCCAGGCACTTGGGATCCCTATCCTCTCTGAGCAGACCAAGGAACTGGGGATCCATTTCACTCCCAAGCAGGCACAGGCACTGGACATCACTTTCACCCCTCATCAGGCCCAATCACAGGGTATCACTCTCACTCCTCAGCAGGCTCAAGCACAAGGGATCACTATCACCCCGGAGCAGGCCAAGGCACAGGGTATCACTGTCACCCCTCAGAAGGCTCAGACACTGGAGATAGCTCTCCCTCCTCAGCAGGTACAGGCACAGGGGATCACTCTCACCTCTCAGCAGGCTCAGGCACTGGGGATCACTCTTACCCCGCAGCAGGCCCAGGCACAGGGGATCACTCTCACTCCTGAGCAGGCTCAGACACTGGGGATCACTCTCATCCCTCAGCAGGCCCAGACACAGGAGATCACTCTCACCCCTGAGCAGGTTCAGATACGAGGGATCACTCTTACCCCTGAGCAGGCCCAGGCAGAAGAGATCACTCTCACCCCACAGCAGGCGCAGGCACAGGGGATCACTCTCACCCCTGAGCAGGCAAAAGCACAGGGGATCACTCTCACCCCTGAGCAGGCAAAAGCACAGGGGATCACTCTCACCCCTGAGCAGGCAAAAGCACAGGGGATCACTCTCACCCCTGAGCAGGCAAAAGCACAGGGGATCACTCTCACCCCTGAGCAGGCAAAAGCACAGGGGATCACTCTCACCCCTCAGCAGGCAAAAGCACAGGGGATCACTCTCACCCCTGAGCAGGCAAAAGCACAGGGGATCACTCTCACCCCTGAGCAGGCAAAAGCACAGGGGATCACTCTCACCCCTGAGCAGGCAAAAGCACAGGGGATCACTCTCACCCCTGAGCAGGCAAAAGCACAGGGGATCACTCTCACCCCTGAGCAGGCAAAAGCACAGGGGATCACTCTCACCCCTGAGCAGGCAAAAGCACAGGGGATCACTCTCACCCCTGAGCAGGCAAAAGCACAGGGGATCACTCTCACCCCTGAGCAGGCAAAAGCACAGGGGATCACTCTCACCCCTGAGCAGGCAAAAGCACAGGGGATCACTCTCACCCCTGAGCAGGCAAAAGCACAGGGGATCACTCTCACCCCTGAGCAGGCAAAAGCACAGGGGATCACTCTCACCCCTGAGCAGGCAAAAGCACAGGGGATCACTCTCACCCCTGAGCAGGCAAAAGCACAGGGGATCACTCTCACCCCTGAGCAGGCAAAAGCACAGGGGATCACTCTCACCCCTGAGCAGGCAAAAGCACAGGGGATCACTCTCACCCCTGAGCAGGCAAAAGCACAGGGGATCACTCTCACCCCTGAGCAGGCAAAAGCACAGGGGATCACTCTCACCCCTGAGCAGGCTCAGGAACAGGGGATCAGTCTCACCCCACAGCAGGCTCAGTCAATGTGGATGACTCTCACCCCTCAGCGGGCTCAGGCACAGGGGATCACTCTCACCCCTCAGCAGGCAAAAGCACAGGGGATCACTCTCACCCCTGAGCAGGCTCAGGCACAGGGGATCACTCTCACCCCTCAGCAGGCAAAAGCACAGGGGATCACTCTCACCCCTGAGCAGGCTCAGGCACAGGGGATCACTCTCACCCCTCAGCAGGCAAAAGCACAGGGGATCACTCTCACCCCTGAGCAGGCTCAGGCACAGGGGATCACTCTCACCCCTCAGCAGGCAAAAGCACAGGGGATCACTCTCACCCCTGAGCAGGCTCAGTCAATGGGGATCACTCTCACCCCTCAGCAGGCTCAGGCACAGGAGATCACTCTCACCCCTCAGCAGGCTCAGACACAGGGGATCACTCCCACTCCTGAGCAGGTTCAGACACGAGGGATCACTCTCACTTCTCAGCAAGCACAGGCACAGGGGATCACTCTCACCCCTGAGCAGGCTCAAGCACGAGGGATCACTCTCACCCCACAGCAGGCTCAAGCACGAGGGATCACTCTCACTTCTCAGCAGGCACAGGCACAGGGGATCACTCTCATCCCACAGCAGGCCCAGGCACAGGGGATCACTCTCACCCCTCAGCAGGCTCAGGCACAGGGGATCACTCTCACCCCTCAGCAGGCTCAGGCACAGGGGATCACTCTCACCCCTGAGCAGGCTCAGTCAATGGGGATCACTCTCACCCCTGAGCAGGCTCAAACACGAGGGATCACTCTCACTCCTGAGCAGGTTGAGACACGAGGGATCACTCTCACTTCTCAGCAGGCACAGGCACAGGGGATCACTCTCATGCCACAGCAGGCCCAGGGACAGGGGATCACTCTCACCCCACAGCAAGCCCAGGCACAGGGGATCACTCTCACCCCACAGCAGGCCCAGGCACTGGGGATCACTCTCACCCCTGAGCAGGCTCAGACACAGGGGATCATTCTCACCCCGCAACAGGCCCAGGCACAGGGGATCACTCTCACCCCTGAGCAGGTTCAGACACAAGGGATCACTCTCACCCCTCATCAGGCTCAGTCAATGGGGATCACTCTCACTCCTCAGCAAGCACAGGCACAGGAAATCACTCTCACCTCTGAGCAGGCTCAGACACTGGGGATCACTCTCACTCCGCAGCAGGCCCAGGCACAGGGGATCACTCTCACCCCTCAGCAGATTCAGACACGAGGGATCACACTCACCCCTGAGCGGGCTCAAGCACAAAGAATCACTCTCACCCCTGAGCAGGCTCAGACACTGGGAATCATTCTCACCCCGCAGCAGGCTCAAGCACAGGGGATCACTCTCACCCCTCAGCAGGCTCAGGCACTGGGCATCACTCTCACCTCTGAGCAAGCCCACATACAAGAGATCATTGAGCATGCCCAGGCACAGGGGATCACTCTTACCCCTCAGCAGGCTCAGGCACTGGGGGTCACTCTCACCCCTCCGCAGGCCCATGTACAAGGGATCACTGTCACTCCTGAACCAGCCCAGGCACAGGGGGTCACTCACACTCCTCAGGAGGCTCAAGCACTAGGGATCTCTCTAACCCCTCAGCAGGCCCACATACAAGAGATCACTGTCACCCCTCAGCAGGCCCTGGCCCAGGGTATCACTCTTACCGCTGAGCAGTTCAAGGCATTGGTGGCCACCCTCCCTCCTGAGAAATCCCAGGATGTGGGAGTCATACTCACACACAAGCAAGTCCAAGCATCAAATGCTTCTCTTCCTCTTGAACAAGACTGGACATTGAAGGCCCCTATTACCCCTAACCAGGGACAGACATTAAAGCCATCTGTCACTTCAGAACAGACCTGGGCAATGCAGATTCCCATAACTACTCAAAAGGCCAAGATAGTTGGGGTCCCTATCACCCAAGGACAGGACGAGGCATTGGGAGTCACTATCACACCACAGCAGACCCAGGCAATCAAAGACCTTCTTACAAAACAGGCACAGACACTGGCATTCGCTCTTACTCCTGAGAAAGCACGGACTTTAGGTATCACACATACCCATGAACAAGCCCAGGCAGTGGGTATCACTCTCACCCCTGAGCAGAAACAAGCATTGGGGGTCCCTCTTACCCTTGACCAGGCTCAGGCATTAGAGACCTCTCTCACTACAGAACAGGCCCGGAAATTGGGGGTCTCTATCACTCCAGAAATAGTTCAAGAAGTATCAAACGCTCTTATTCTTAATCAGAACCAAAGGTTGGGCATCATTCCTTCTCATGAACAGGCTCAGGCATTTGGCACTTCTTTTACTCTGAATCAGCCCCAGGCATTGGGAATTCCCATTACTCCCCCAAATATGTGGGTGTCAGCTGTCACTCTTACCCCTAAACAGACCCAGGCTTTGGGGGTCCCTCTCACTTCAGATAAAACCCATGCCTTAGGATCTCTCCTTACCCCTGAGCAAGTCCAACCTTTGAGAGCCTCCTTCACCCCAGGACAGGCCCAGCCCATGGGTATTATTCACATGTCTGAGCAGGACCTAAAATCAAGAGTTCCTCCCATTAATGAGCAGTCCTCACAACTCTGGGCCGGTCCTCCTTCAGGACATACCCTGGGACTTGGGATCTTTTCTATTACTGATGAATCCAAACCAAGTGCTCCTCACATTCCTAAGCAGTCCCCCATATCAGCTCCTTCCACTCTTAGGCCATTTCAAGAATCAAAGGCTTCTCTCCCCTCTGGGCAACGCATTACATCAATAACTAGGCAGTCTCTGGTATCATCTGCTCCTATGGCTGAAAAGTCCTCTATATTTGAGGTCTCTTCTATTCCTTTGCAGATATCAAGGTCTCCTCTTACTCAAGCCCTCTTTGTCCCTGAGAAATCCCTAGGAATGGGGATTCCTTCTGATTCTAGGAAGCTTCTGGCACCACAGACTTTTCCTTCCTCGAGTCAGACCCTAGTTTCTAAGACTCAATCCACCTCTGTGCAGGTCCCAGCACCAGAGGTCCCTCCCACCACTGGGACGCTCCCAATATCTGGAGCTCCTCTCACTTTAGGGCAGCCTCTTGCACTGGATTCCCTTAGCTCTAGGCAGTTCCTCATATCTAGGGACTCTCTGACTCCCCAATTACCTCTGATATCCAAGGCCCCTCTTGACCCTAGGCAGCCCCTAATATCTGCAGTCACACCCACCTCCTCACGGATTCCCAGTCTCTGGGATCCTCTCTCTCCTAGGAAGCCCCTGGTTCCTGGGGTGCCTTCTATCCCTGAAGAGCTCATAGAATCTGGACACTTAACTCTCTCTGAGCAACCCCAGGCATTTCAGCCCCCTGCCACCTGTGAGCAATCTCCCTACCTACAAGCCCCTTCCACCCTTGGGCAGCATCTGGCACCATGGACTCTTCCTGAACAAGCTTTCCCACTATGTATCCCTTCCACCTCTGGGCATCCTCCAACACTATGGGCCCCCTCAGCCCCTGGAAAACCTCAGAAAGATTTTTCCTCTTCAGTTTCTAAGAGAAGTAAGGAAAGATTGGCAATTATTTCTTCTCTGAAATCTAAAGCAGCATTGGTCCACCCTAGTGCTCCAGATTTTAAGATACCTCAAGCACCTTCCACCACTAAGAAGTTCCAAATATCAGAAATCTCTGACACTTCAGAAGAAATCCAGATACTCTCCAATCCTTTTGTCACAGAACAGTCCAGAACATTTCAGTCCTATCTCACTAATGATAGGACTCCAGTATTACAAACCCCTTATATTGATGAGGGGGCCCTTCCCACTCTCATGAAGCCTATAACATCACTACCTTCTCCTACTACTAAGCTACCCAAAACATCACAGATCTCACCTTCTGAATGGGACCAGAAATCCCGATTTCCCCCTATAAACAAGCCCTGCATACTGACTTCAGTTTCAGGTACGAAGAAACCCAAAATGATGGTACCCCCGTCCTCTCCCCAAGAGCTCAAAGAGCAGAGGTATTTTGTTGATGTGGAGGCTCAGAGGAGGAACCTGATACTCTTAAATCAGGCCACAAAAACTTCTGGACTCCCTTCAGAGCTACATGCAACAGCTAAAAACCTCATAATTGAAACACTTCATACAGACACAGTTCGGCTGGGATACCTGTTCCACAAGTACATTGCTTACAGGCTGATCCAGCGTGCAAGGTAGATATAACTGTTACATGTCCAGATTTCTGATTTAGTCCTGATTTCAAATATCCTCCCTCACTGCACTATAAGTATATATATATTTGTCAGATTAGATGTTCTAAAAGATTCTCTTATGGAAGATCTATGGGATGGAAGCCTGTTTAAGATAGCAAAAGGAGATTTTTTTAGGAAATAAGAAATGTTATATAACATGATCCATTTCATTTATTTACATCTCTAGCAGAGAGGCTAAGATAAATTTTGTGGATCATAACTGATCTCCAAAAGATCAAATTCAAAAGTTTAGAGATGCTTCCAGTTATTTCGAATTTCTTAGATCATCTTGGGTTCACCAGAAGATGTATGGTTCTTAAAAAGGGAGATGGCAGGTGATGTATAAGGTGTTGTCACGGCAACTTTGGTGCTGGAGTGGAGGAAAGAGGTCCAGGTCCTGATTTTTAAAAACTGCAAATATCAGAAATAGGTCAGGGAAAGTGACAATTGGCCTGCCATCCTTAGCATTTGTTTTTGAGTTTACCTATTTTTTAGGGGAAATTTTTTAACGTTTAACTAAAGAAGCCAATTAAAAACTATAATAGAGGAGGTTATCATTAATTATGGGAACAAGTATGTTATTTATTCAACAGATATGTGTTGAGTGCCTACTAAGTGCAAAACACTGTTCTAGGTACTAGGGATGATGTGAATAAAAGTACCCTGTTCTCATGAAATTTACATTTTTGAGGACAGAATTCCCTTGGGAACTAAGAATTCTAACAAGGTCCAAAAGAAAGACTTATCCAAGATATAATCAGAACTTTTAATTTCAAAGTTTAAGTAATCTGAGATTTGTTGCAAAATGTTTTATTCTATACCTGTCTTTAGTTTTCTCTTTCCAGACTGAATATTCCTAATCTTTTAAATCTGTTTTTACAGTTTGATACTTTTATCCACTTGAGAATTTTAAATAACATGTTCCTGGTCATTCTCTAGTTTCCTTATATCTTTTTTCTTTTGTTATATTTAAAAAAAAAATAGTACCTTTGCCTGGTACAATATTTAAAATATACAAATGGTAGAGTGAAAAGTCTCCTTAATAGTCCTATCCCTGGCCAGTAGGGCCCTTCCCCAGTGCTACTAATGTATGTTTATCCAGAAACATTTTCTGCATATGTAGAAAAGTACATAAGCTCTTTTATTCTCCTTTTACATATTTTAAAGTTATGACATTTGATTTTTTTAATAACTTAACTTAGATATTAGGTATTAGATAACTTGAGTATTAATATATAAAGAGCCTATTCATTGATTTTATAGCTCCATAGTATTCAGAGTCTTGATTTACCAGAATTTACTTAATCTCTGATGGATATTTATGTTGTTTTCAATATTTTGCATTATAAAAATATACTTCTATGAACAATCTTGTATATACATATGTATATGTTTAGATGTATATTCTTAGAAGTAGAATTTTCTAATCAAGGGTGTTTTGTAATTGTGATAGGTCTTTGTCAAATTGTTTTCTAAAAAGGTTGTAACAATTTACATATTGGTCAGCATTTTATAAAAGACTATTTCCCCACATCGAAACTAACATGAACTGTTATCGAGTTTTTTATTCATTGACAATATGATGAAATATGGTATTTCACTGCTTTAATTATCATTACTTTTATTATGGGTGAGGTTAAGCTTATAGACTTAAGAGCCATCCATATTTCATTTTCTGTGAAGACTCTATTAAAATACTTTGCCCATTTTTCAATTGGGTTATAAGTTGTTTTTTAAAATTGATTTAGAGTACCTGTTTAAATATTTGGAAAATTAGCCCCTTGCCTATGATATAAATTTCCAGGTTTCTCCCACTTGGATGTGTTTTGTTTCTGCTTTTAGTGGTTTTGCTTTGTAGAAATTTTTGATTTTTATGTTTTTACATCAAGGTATTTTAATAATGAATTGTACCTTATTTAGAAAGGCCCTTTCCACTCTGAGAAATATTAAAAAATCCTTTCTAGGTGTATTTTAGTACTTTTATGGGTGGTTGTTAGATTTGTTTGTTTTACATTTAAGTCTTTGATTAAACTTTCTGGATGTGATTCCATAGTATAGCGGTTAGCACGTCTGCTTTATACACAGAAAGTCCTGGGTTCCTTCCCCAGTGGAGCCATGATCAATGATTTATGGCCATGCCACCCTGAACATTCCTAATCTTGGAAGTGAAGCAGGGTCGGGCCTGGTTAGTACTTGGATGGGAGACCATCTAGGAACACCAGGTGCTGTAGGCATAAATAATAAGAATAAATTTAAAAAAAAAAAAAATCTTTCTGTTGTGAGATATGAATCTGGCTTTATTTTTCCACTTGGCTACCCAGTTGCCCCATTACTACTCACAAAATAATCTACCTTTCTCCCACTGATTTGAATGTACCTTCATCATAAATTCTTATACCAGTTAGGTCCATATCTGGACTTTCTATTATTTTTTACTGATTGCATGTAGATGAGTCACTTCTATTCCATATTATTTATTATAGTTTAATTTTTATGATGCTGAGTCTTTGTGGTAGTCATTAGTACTGTTTCCTAATATTTGTCAATGAAATGTAGGCAGAATTGATGTGTGTCATTTCTGTGCTGAGCTTGTCATTGCTGGTTTGAGACCCTCCAGAGTCTCCTTTTCCTCTGGCATTATAACCTACAATGTTTAAGGTGATGCCTATTCTGTTAGCTTGTGTTCCTTAGCGTATACAATGAAGCTCTCCATATTAAGCCCTGATGGATTTGCAGTATGAGTAAAATTTTATTTTTAGTCACTGAGATTTGGGGGTTATTTGTTAAAATAGCAAAACCTAGCTCATCTTTACTAATACAGTCTTTCTATGGAAAAAAATGGTATACTTTTCTTTTTGTTCAGGTTATGTGTGTGTGTATCCTTCAGGAGCATTTTAAAGTTTTCATTTAGCTCTTGCATATTCTTCCATAAGTGTATATCCTGGTAGTTTTCATTTTTGCTATTATTGTAAATGGACATTCTTCTACGTCTTCTAACTCGTTATTTGCATAAATAAAGGCCAGATTTCTCTATATCAATTTTGTATGCAGCCATTTTACTGTATTTAAGCTTGTGAAAGTTTTTCAATTGATATTTTAAAATTTTTCAGGTATATAATCATCACCTGCACATAATAAATTTTTACATTTAGATTTTCTCATTTTTAAGCATCTGTCTCTTGACTACCCAAATTGGTTGTACCTCCGGGTACTAACAAGGCCATATTTATTCATTTGACTGCCCTAAGTAACAGCTGTGAGTGCCTTTCCATGGCCCTGTGTTATTTTTTTATAATAAATTTCATATTCAAGAGTGTTTAAAAGGGTCACTTATATTTGTATTCTCTTTTCTGAAAAAGTTGCAAAATGTCCTTAACCTTAGTCAATTTTATTTATTTTTTATTTTTTGCATTCCCGTGTAACTCAGATTGCTAAAATATAAGTCCTTCTTAAATTGCTAATTATTAAAAACAAGTATAAATTGGTTAAAAAGATAGTAGTGATAGTGAACATCTTTCTAGTATTTGTCAGTAAGAAATATAATGGCATTTGAGTCAGAGTACATTTTATCATATTAAAGTATCCATTTGTTCCCCTATTTAATTGCTTTATTAAATTTGTTAAATCACATTTTGTTAAATGTGATTTCAGCATGTCATTTTCATGTGTATTAAAGAAAATATGGTTTTCTCTTCAGAACTATTAATATGATTAATTGTAATAAACCATCATGGGGGAGGGGAGAGGAGGGAGGTAGATGAGGTGAAAGGGGTCAAATATGTGATGACATTAAAGAATTAAAAATTTAAATAAATAAATAAATAAATAAATAAGCTGTCATTGCATTCTTGAAATAAATCCTATTCATCTTTAGTGTATCCTTTGAATGTGTTATGGAATTTGTTTGCTCACATTTTATTTAGGTTTTTTTTTTTTTGCATTGATATTAATTATTAAGTTGATTGGTGGTTTACTTCTTTTGTCAAATTTGGGTATACTTTTAAGCTTATATCATTAAAAATGTGGAACCTTATCTTGTTCTATGCTCAAGAACAATTTAGTAGTAAAATTTGCTATTCTTTTAAGGTTTGGCAGATTTCACCTATTATATAGGTTTACTACTTTTGGAAGAGAGTTCTTTGACAACTTTCTCAATTTTTATATGGCAATTTTTTTGTTTAGATTTATAGGAGATTTTGAAGACCTAGTGACATGATCTGGCCTGTTTCAGTAAAATCATTTGAAAACTGAATTATATAGATCAACATTTTTACAATATTTAACTTATACAATTGTACTTTTAATCCCATCAAGCATCAATTTGTTTTTTTCGGAGAGCTCTTCTTTCATAATAAATGTTCTAATAATCAAATCACCAACAGGTGTAACAATAAAATATTGATAGATTAAAGATTCCATAACAAGGATGGCTAGGTCAAGAAGATTCTAACATTATGTGGGAGAGAAAATAAAAAGCATAATAACATTAACTATTTTTGAATAGTATAAAAGATGGTTATACTTACTTCATTGAGAACAACATTATTTATGGGAATGGGTGTGATAGGAATTCTGTAACGCATGTAGGGAAGTGGTTAAAAACACATGTAATAAAAATGGTTATAAGAGTGAAAAAAAATCACCTTCAGGATATGGAAAAAACTCAAAGCTACTGGAAAATAATTTAATTAAAAATATACTAAATTAATTCCAAAAGTTGATATATTTAAGTATTAAATGATCCACATTTATAGTAGGTTCTAAGCTATTAATTATGACCCACAAAAGAGTGCTAAGAGTTATTCTCTGTGTGTATATGTATGTAAAATACATATATTCAGAAAAACATCTTCAATGGGTTCCCATTGCCTACCCTCCCCACAAAAAATCCAAACTCCTTAATATGACTTTTAAGGTCTTTCATAATCCAGCCATTCCAGTCTCCTCCCAGATTTTATCCTTTCATGTATCTGGTCTAAAAGTCCCAGACTACTTACTACTCTCAAAATATAATTTTCATGTTCTTGCACTTGTATATAGTATTCCCTCAACCTGGAATTCTTTACCCCCTTCTTCTCAAACTTCAGTGACAGTAAAATTTACCTGTAATTCCGCTTAAAATATAGATCCTGAAGCCTACCACCAAGATTTTGATTCAAAAGGTCTGCTGGAAGACCTTGGAATCTGCATTTTCAAAAAGTACCTCCTCCCACAAATGATTTAGTCCAGGTGATCAGAGTCCACACTTTGAGACAAACCGGTATTGTGGAAAGAGAGAAGATCTGAGTTTACTTTCCAAATCTGGTATTAATTATGTGACTTTAGAAAATTATTTAACTTTGCCTAGATTCCTTTTCCTCTCCTGTAGAATGAGGATGGGAAAACATCAGCTGTTTAGAAGGCCCAAACATGGTGGTATACATTATAGGAGAGAGAGTACATTTTTATGACTATTCCTCAAGATCCTGTTCAACATCGTCCCATGAGGCTTTCTTTATTCCTCTTATTAAAATTAATTATGTGTTCCTATTTGCTCGAACAGCATGTTTACATTTCTTTTTAGTATTTATTTCATTCTTTTTTTGACAAAGTTAATTTATTGGTCTCCTATTCTTGCGTGTAAGTGTTTTGAAGGCAAGGACTCTGTCTTTTTCATAACTGTATTACGTACCTTCTATATGTCTTGTATATACCAATGCTAAAATTTTAATGTATTAAGAATAAACAACACTATTATAACACTAAACTCTTTGAACAGTTAATGAAAATTTGACTGATTTTTTAAATTTTAGTCATACAGAGAACTAGATTAAGATCTCATTAAGCAAATCTTTCACCCCTATCCCATCTTTCTCTGCTTACTAAGGATGAGATGAGAATTGAAGTAACTGAGGCCAGTGATTATATTAATCCAATTCTTGTTAATTTTTTCAAGAAACAACATAATCAAACGATTACAAGCCATTCAATACAGTGGAAAAGGTTATGAGACCCAGAACCTCTATATAATGCTGAGCAGAATTGAAGACTACCAGAAAAAGGTGATGGGGGTCTGGACCAAGAAGCAGAAATCTATAGAACAGGAACGGAATCAGTGCCTGAAGAAAATGATATTCTTATTTAGACAGGTAACCTGTTTTCTATTCCCTCTCCCCAGTGTGTTAAGAAAAATAAAAGTGGTAAGCTTTGAAAATAATATTTACCTGGAGGTACCATGTATATTGGTTTCCTAGGGCTGCTGTAAAGAATTACCACAACTTGATGGCTTAAAACAACAAAAATGTATTCTCTTATAGTGCTGGAGGCCAGTTTGTAAAATCAAAGCGGGTTTGGTTCCTTCTGGAGGCTCTGAGAAATTTGTGACTTTAGAAAATTATTTAACTTTGCCTAGATTCCTTTTCCTCTCCTGTAGAATGAGGATGGGAAAACATCAGCTGTTTAGAAGGCCCAAACATGGTGGTATACATTATAGGAGAGAGAGTACATTTTTATGACTATTCCTCAAGATCCTGTTCAACATCGTCCCATGAGGCTTTCTTTATTCCTCTTATTAAAATTAATTATGTGTTCCTATTTGCTCGAACAGCATGTTTACATTTCTTTTTAGTATTTATTTCATTCTTTTTTTGACAAAGTTAATTTATTGGTCTCCTATTCTTGCTTGTAAGTGTTTTGAAGGCAAGGACTCTGTCTTTTTCATAACTGTATTACGTACCTTCTATATGTCTTGTATATACCAACGCTAAAATTTTAATGTATTAAGAATAAACAACACTATTATAACACTAAACTCTTTGAACAGTTAATGAAAATTTGACTGATTTTTTAAATTTTAGTCATACAGAGAACTAGATTAAGATCTCATTAAGCAAATCTTTCACCCCTATCCCATCTTTCTCTGCTTACTAAGGATGAGATGAGAATTGAAGTAACTGAGGCCAGTGATTATATTAATCCAATTCTTGTTAATTTTTTCAAGAAACAACATAATCAAACGATTACAAGCCATTCAATACAGTGGAAAAGGTTATGAGACCCAGAACCTCTATATAATGCTGAGCAGAATTGATGACTACCAGAAAAAGGTGATGGGGGTCTGGACCAAGAAGCAGAAATCTATAGAACAGGAACGGAATCAGTGCCTGAAGAAAATGATATTCTTATTTAGACAGGTAACCTGTTTTCTATTCCCTCTCCCCAGTGTGTTAAGAAAAATAAAAGTGGTAAGCTTTGAAAATAACATTTACCTGGAGGTACCATGTATATTGGTTTCCTAGGGCTGCTGTAAAGAATTACCACAACTTGATGGCTTAAAACAACAAAAATGTATTCTCTTATAGTGCTGGAGGCCAGTTTGTAAAATCAAAGCGGGTTTGGTTCCTTCTGGAGGCTCTGAGAAATTTATTCCAAGTCTCTCTCCTAGATTCTGGTGGCTTATAGACAATCCTTGGCATTCCTTGGCTTATAGCTACATAACTCCAATCTCTGCCTCCGGACTTCCCATGGCCTTCTTCCCAGTGTATCTTACATCTTTCTCTTCTGTCTCTTATAAAACCATGTGTCATGGATTTAGGACCCATCTGGTTAATTCAGAATGATCTCATTTTAAGATCCTTAATTTAATTACATCCATAAAGACCTTTTTTCCAAATAAGGTCACACTCACAGGTTCTGGGTGAACATATCTTCTGAGAGGTTCACCACTCAAACCACTACACTGTGACTTCAGTGAAACTCCTAAATTTATAACAGGAATACTGACTGGACTCTCTAAATGAGAAAAAGATTAGAATAGGAGAGACTTCCAGAAATGCTCAACTCATTCCTAGTCAACCTGCACCTACCAGCCTCTAAATATGAAACCTCTCCAACTGATTCATGGTAGTTATAGCCTCACAACTATCAGAAAGCAAGTTTTAATATGATGAGTTTACAAGAACGGAGGTAAGGACTTATTTAACTTGCTTACATAGCACCAGGAATAGATCTTGTGGAACTCTGACAATCCACTCACTATGTCTCAGAGACTCCTCTAAGATAACCATCAGTATGCTTTTGGGAGTGATAGCAACCTTCCAAAAAGTTATAGAGCTGAGATTAGAGTTCTTTCCTCTGGGATTACATACTCCCATTACGTGTTCTAGCATGTAGTTCTGGAACAATCTTGGAGATCTAGGAACATTTTATATCATATATATTCTTTTCTTTCACTTAATTTAATTAATTAATAAGAACAGTTTACTTGCTACTTTAGAAGATACAGAGACTTATCATAGCTTGGTTAAAATCAGACATATTTGAATTTTCCAGAAGTTACATTTTAAATAGTAAAGTTCTTTGACAAATAAAATGGATATTTTCTATAGTTTTTGGTTTGAAAAATATGGCCAATGTAAGTGGAATAAAGCAAGATGAGTTGGCAGTGTCATGAGCTGTCTAGCAAGAACCAATGTCAAGGGTATTCCAGAGGATGAATATGGATCTAAGGTCAGAAAAACCATAATCTAGATGATAAGGTGGGTATCGAGGCAATAAAGAAGGAAAGGGAAAAAGCAAATAGGAGAAGAGGGTAGAAATGAATAAATATCTTACACTGAGTCAGAGTAATGGTCTAGAGAGGTTGGTTCTGCTGCCAGATTGTCTGGATTCAAATAAGCTTCATTACATACTAGCTAAGAGGCCTTGGAAAAGCCACTTAAATTTTCTGAGTTCCAGATCCCCATCTGTAAGAAAAGGATAATAAAAGAATCCATCTCATATGGTTGTTGTAAACACCAAATGAATTAATATATAGAAGGCATCTGACATTCAGTATATAGTCACTAAATGTTAGCTATCGTTACATTTGCATAGTGCTTTACAATTTATGAAGTGCTTCCGTGTATATTATATAATTCTCACAACAATCCTGTGTTATTATCTTTTCATTAGTAATGAGGAGAAAGAGGTACAGATAAAAATTAGCAACTAACTCAAAGTCACACAGCTAGGAAATGAGAAAGCTAGGTCCAGAGCTTACACAGGACCAAGGTTTATATATATCATAGCTGCCACCTCTGAAATTGTGTGTTGGAGTAGGGTAGAGTTGAGGAGTGGTTAGAGGAAGTGAGAAAGAAGATAGAGAAAGAAGATTTGCAAATCCATAAAAAAAGGAAGAGTCATAGGTTAGCTCGGGTTGGCTCAGATCTTAAAGACTCTGGCCTGTTCTTTTCATTGTTTCCTTTTTATTTATTTTTAGCTCCGAGAGATACATAAATTGAATCTTAGTCAACCTATCCCTTTGATCATCAATAAAAACCAGATATCTGCCCCTACCAAGTTTGCTCAACAACCATTCCTAGAGCTATTAATAGAAGAAGACAGAAAACCTGAGAAGTTCAAGAAATTTAGGTATGTCATAGGAAAGATCGACATTAAACTTTCTTTGGATGATATGTGGGACCTAATAATTTTTTTTCTGCCTAAGAGCTTCCCTACAATTATGATATGGTACAGTGGAGAGTCTAAAGGAGTATTAACTTTCTTAGCTAATTTAGCAAGAGGCTTATTTATATATATTTTTTTAACTTAAATATTTAATATCTAATTTTGAGTTCCTTTAAAAAATGAAGCTGCTTCTTCCTTACTAAGAAACAAATACACAATGAAGAAGCTTAGAAGTATTACTTTTTTTCTTTTTTTGAAAGAAGGTAGGAGCTTTGGTAAAGAAGTGGGGAAAGATTGTTTCTGGGGGAAAAAAATCGCCTGGATATGGTCTGCATACTCCAGGAAGCTAAGAAGGTAGTTTTAAAATGGATTACTAGGTGAAGTCATGAAAATGCAGCTTTCAGGTAAGGAAAAAAGAGCTACTTCAGCAAATTCTGCTGTTTTAATCCATTTCTCAGTCAAAGTGGGCATAGCAAACATTCCTCAGTACAGGGGAGGGCATTATAGGACAGTGTGGTGGTAAAGAAAAGAGGGGAGAGTAAAAATCATATATTTTGATTGACTATGTAGCTAAAGAGAGTTTGGCGCTTCCAATCGGTGCCCTCTGATTCTCTAGACAAGAAGACCAGATGGAAGCCATCTGGAATGCTGATCAGTCCACTTCAAGCTACCCAATAGAAGAGAAAACATCAATAAATTCACTCTGGGCCAAGCTGGGTGGGTACCCAGCTATTCCTATGCTGCTCCAGTTAGATGTCCAGTCCACCTTCAGAAAATCTCTTGCATCCATTCAATCACAGTAAGTTAAGGGAAGGGAGAGCACTCTGAAAATCGGGCCTTTGGTCATGTAACTTTCGTTTCCCTAATTTTTGCAGCACCAAGGAGTTACCAGAAGTGTTAGTCATTTAGTGTTTCCTTCCATAGGCCTGCAGATGTCACCACTGAAATACTATAAAATAAACAAAAAAACCAGTTATAATACCATGAAACCTAGTCCAACACTAGATAGGTCCACTTTGAATTCCACCCTGAGGGGTTTATTACTAGAAGTATCAGAAAGACCATAGTAGAATGTTTTTGTCCACCTCATGGCTCAGTAACATACCTTAAATTCAGTTGTCATATGTAGGCCCAATCTGAGGTAAACTAAGTGCTTATATCTGAGGATACACTTAGAATAGGTAAGGTGGGTGACGAGGATCCACATTTCCAAATTGTTAAACGATATTCTCACTTAAACCATTGGAAATCATTCTGGCGGACGTGAAGAGTTTTGAAGTTGGCATTATCTCTTTCAGGGCAGAGAATTATCTAATGTTCTAAACTAAGAATTTAGAAAATTGAACTTCCGTAACCTTTACAAAGGAGCAGTCTGACTATTCTGCTAAAATCCAAGTCCTGAGCTAAGAAGTAGTATTAACTCACAAATTTGTTTAGGTGGCAAATACTATGAAATTGGATATTTAAAATTCTATAATATAGTAAAATAATAGCAAAAATATTATATAATGTATACAATATAAAATATACTATGAGCACAACTGTTCATTAAAAAAAAATTACCAAACCAAATGTAACCATTAAGTTGAATAAGCATGACTCATAAGTTACAGGTTAAAATGAGAAAGCAACTTTCTCTCTCATTTTCCCTTACATTTTTTGGAGTGATTAAATTAATTAACTTAGGTTATTTTAAGAAAAAACATTGCTAATTTAATGACTATAGTGCTTAGGACAAGATGTATAAATTTTTCTTTAAATAATATTTTTTATCTCCATTCCATAGCTAGCTTCAACAATTAGATATCCTCCTAATCTGACTAACCACTTCTTACTCATGCTAAATCCTACAGATTTAATGAGACCCATATTTCCAGTTTACTTTTTAGGACTCAATTAAGATATCAGAGATTTTTTTGTTTGTTTCATAGATTTTTTAAAACATATAATGTATATACAGTAAAATTCATCCTCTTTAGGGTACAGTTCTGAGTCTTGCCAAATGCATAGTTATGGCAACTATTAATCTTGATGTCCTATAGTCTTACCTTTTCTAGAATGTCATATAAATCAAAGTACAGTATGTAACCTTTTGAATCTGGCTTTTTCACTTAGCATAATTCATGTGAGATTCATCCATATTGTTTCATGTATCAGTAATTCATTCCTTTTTATTTACTGACTAGTACTATTCTAGTGTATGGCTATGTCTCATTTGTTTATCCATTCACCAGGTAAAGGGCATTTGAGTTGTTTCCAGATTTTGGCATTTATGAATAAACCTGTTATAAAAATTAATATATAGGTTTTAGGGTGAATGTAAGTTTTCATTTCTCTTAGCTAAAATACCTAGGAGAGGGATTGCTGGATTGTATAAGTATATGTTTAACTTTTAAGAAACTGTCCACCTATTCTCCAAAGTGACTATTCATCTCTTTACATTTATTCAGTGGTCCTATTTCTTATCCTGCTCTGGATGAAAACCTAGGTAGTACCATGACATTTCGTTTCTTCCACTGTAGACTACTGTAACTTACAGTCTGGGAAGGAGAACATGAACAGCTTCTTTTGTCTTTTATGGGCTAGTGCTTCTGTTCCTTCTTTTCCAGACTGCTACTATGGAACCCCTTAGAGATTAGAGCTCTGGGAAGGGAGGAGAGAGAAGTGGAAAGGGAAAGTTCTTACTGACTATTACTGATACATTTTTCAACATCATTGCTTCCTGGATGTGGCAAAATTTTAAAGCTCTTTCATTGGAGTACATTATGTGAGCTCCTTAGAGATCATCATCACTGGAGATCTTTCATCTGCAGATTTCTTGATCTTGGCAAATACATTTCTATCCTAACTGGTTGTTTACATTTGTGATACCTCCATCACCTTTCTCCTGAGATATGTTTGCATCTTTAGACAGCCCTTCTGGATAGAATCCAAGACAATCCCATGCCATCTCTTTTGGGTATATGTGTATGTGTGGTCCACATCTAGTCTACAGAAAACACTTGAGCTTCCTTTGTCCAGATAAACTCTGAGATTGAAGCTTATCCCAATGCAGCAGCAGTCACTTCTTTGTTTCTACCATGGGAGCAGCTAGTCAATCAGTCATCTGCCTTAGATTTTTTTTCAGGATGCAATCAGGCCTCCAAAATGTAAGGTTCTATGCTAAGGTCTTGAGTGGAGGAAGGGTATGAGAGCTTTCAAAATTCCCTTCTCCTTGACCATTACATACTCTCAGAGTTAAAAGGATAAGTCAATTTCTTTGTAAATTCTAGTCTGGCACTTCTCTTTGGTATCTATTGTTAGAATTGCCAGATTTAGCAAATAAAAACAAAGGACGCCAGTTATCTGAATTTCAGATAAACAACAAATTATTTAGTACTATAAGTATGGTCCATGAAATTTTATTCTTATATTTAAAAATTATTTATCGTTTATCTGAAATTCAAGTTTAACTAGGCATCCTGTATTTAATATGGCAACTCTTCTATTGTGTTTTGCCAAAATTTCCATGTTGACATCCTATTACAAAATATGTAGTAGGAGTTCTAACTTGTAGAGTTAGATGCCTAAAAACTTTCAGAATAAGAACGCTGAAAACAGTGAAAAAAAATTTAAGATATTATAGGAAATAGAATTGAAGTCTTGGATTTTGCAATTTTCACTAAAAATAGAATACTGAATATATCAATTTTTAAGATATCTTAAATTAGTAATAATGGGCACTATATGATCAATTATTATTTACCATACTCTTCTTTTTTTCTCACTAGGATCTCTTCAAAGTCCTTCCTCTCCCCCAAAAAGATTACATTTATTTTACTTTGTGGCAATTAAAGTACAAACCAAGAGACTTTCTTTCCCTCTGGGTTTAGTTATTTCTACCATTCTTTAACTCTGTTTAAACAATCACACTTTCTGAGTTGTCTTCTCTGACTCCTCCTATGTGCTCCCAATCCATTTTATAATTAACGCTATGCTAGCACTTACCATTCTGAATTATTGCGTCATTACTAACCTCCCCTGATTTTGGACAATACGTTTTGGGGAGATTAATTGCCTGTTGTATTCAATTGTCTCTACTTTTGCTCTGCCTGCTTTCCTTTCAAGAATATTTACTGACTACTAATAATGTGCCATGTACTATAACCAGGCACTGATACAATATGTGGGAAGAGTTCAAGAGACCATGGATGTCAGATAGAAGGAATAATATGTACAAAAAATAAAAACCTCCCTACTCCCCAGTTCCCTTTCTTCCTGTTTCCAATAGGAGTGACAAGAACTAAAGTTTCTCTGCCTGCCTTGATGTGTTATGTGATGCTTGACGTTATCGTCATCTTTCGCAACACTGAGGTGATAACCATGGGACAAAGAGATAATACACCAAGAATTACAGAAGAGAGAGATAAGTAAAACCCTGTCCTTAATGATGTCCAGTTCCTAGAACAACCCTGAGTATACCTGCCTCTGGGCTTTTTTAAGTAAGCAATAAAATGGCCTTATAGTTTCAAACATCCTTAATTAGTCAGGAATTGTTGAAGCCAAAAATGTTACTGACTTATTTAGTTTATACTTTTTTCCCCTCAGGAAAGCCTTTCCTAACTCTCCCTATTGCCCTTACATGCCATTTCTCTGCACTCCGATAATATCCTAAGTTTATCACTCTACCATTGTATTTACCACATGTATTATAAGTATCTGTTAATGCACCTGTCTCATTGTATCCTCAGAGGTCTGACACTTTGCCTGGCCCAATAGAGATATTCAAAAAAGTTCAATAATGAATGGATAAGTCTATGTTTTTGTCCCCAAAGAGGTAATAATTAAAGCAGGGGGTGAGAAACTCCTGAGGAATTACAAAAGATAACAACTATCAAAAGAACCATTTTCAACAGGACTCTCTTAGGGCAGAGGAAGCTTTGGAAGTTGTAGGATATGTGCAGGAATTTTTATCAAGGGAAGTACTACTGGTTAAATAATAGTAATAACAGTAACACTTCACGATAGTGTGATGATTTTCACAGTGATTCTAATACCAAATTTAAACCTCACAACCATCCTAGTGAGGTAAATACAGTACGCATTTTAGAGAATAGGAAGCTGAGGCAGAACCAGAAGTTCAAACAAGTTCTATAGGCCATACTTTAGACATATGAAATTTACCTTAAGCTAAATTGTTTAAATATTTTTTCTCTCACTGTGGTAAAGACCATCTGATATGAAGTCTTACCAAACAGTATACAAATGTTAGGGTCAGAATGATGAGATCTGCCATTTCTCGGTCATATACCCTATGCCTCTGTCACACATAAGCACACAGATACACATACTACCTGTCTTTCACTATTCAAATCTTTCTCTATAGGTAGAGAAAGCTGGCACATAGGGTGATACATCATAATCCTGTATTTCCCTAAGAAATGGTCCTAGCAGGAAGTTTGCACACTTGAAAATAAATAGTTCAGATGCTTGCCTTGACTTGTTAAAGCATTTTCCCTAAGGAGGGGAAAAACTACTTAGGACACAAATCATAAATTGTAGTGTTGGCTGGTACATACAGAATCAGGGCAGAAGAAGCTATTTATGTACCAACAATGGCTGTGACATAAGATTATGATTTGGATTCTCCTCCACTGTTAGGATGTACCTAACAAGCAACCTGGACAGTTATGCTGGCTACACAGCATGCTGTTTCTCCAGACTCCTCTCTGACCCTATGTTTCTTGTTCTCATACTAACCATCTGCCATTCTACTTAAAATCTTTTTCCTAAATAATTTAAATGTATCATTTTTTATTTTAAA